CAACACAATCCCAGATAAAATCTTTTTTTGTAGAAGCTGACAAGTTGATTCTAAAATTTATATGGCTATTTTAGAATAGCCAAATAATCTTGAAGAACCAACATGGAGGACTTAAGATTTCCTGATTCCGTGCTTAACTGCCAAATCCTCCGCACTGTCAAGCTGCTGTGGAAAACCTCAAGTCCAAGTCCTCGCCTAATAATAGGGACCAAAAGAGCTAACTAAGTTCAACAGGTCTCATCTTTGCTTACCTTAATTTTTGCCAAAATTTTCCCCTCAAAACATCCCAGGACCATCTATGATGATCCAAATTCCATCCCAGACTGCTCTGCTCATTTCACCACTTGATCTAACTTCCAGCCCTTCCCTTTCTTTCATTGTTTTCTCTGTACAAGGTGTGATAAAAAAAATACGGTCAGGGCCGGCCGAGTGGCGCGTTGGTTAAGAGTTGGCTTGGGATGCCAGCTCTGAGCAGCAGGGCCCTGGTTCGGATCCCACATGAGGGTCAGTGACGCTGCGCCCTCTACAGCTAAGATGGTGAACAATAGCTCGACCTGGAGCTGGGCTGCCGTTGAGTCGACGGCGTAGGCTGGAGTGGAGCTGCAGTGGGCTGCCATAAGCTACCATGAGTGGGTGGCAGCCAGCGTGAGCTGCCGTGAGTGGCTGACCAGTGGCCGGTGACCATTCTGCCTCAGCCGGGAAGAGCGCAATGATAATACCAACATGGGCCAGTGACGTGATGTCCTCCATAGCTAGACTGAAGAACAAAAGGACAGCAATTTGTCTGTTCCCCTTCCCCGATTCCCCAATGCTGTTCCCCTCCCCCAATTCCCCAATAAAACCTTTAAAAAAATATATGGTGAATGTTTAAATTTAAAAACACTTATTACAGTAAAAGACACATTGCCATTAATCCCCCTCAAAATACTCCCCCTTGTTTTGAACACACTTATCCCATTGTTCTTGCCACTTTCTGAAACAGTTCTGGAAGTCCTCTTTCATGAGTATCTTTAGTTGCACTGTCGTGGCTGCCTCGATGTTCCTGAATCGATTCAAAACATTTACCTTTCATGGTCATTTTGACTTTGGGGAAGAGCCAGATGTCACACGGTGCCAGATCCAGTGAATAAGGTGGATGAGGACACATGTAATGTTTTTATTTGACAGAAATTGCCGTACCACAAGTGATGTGTGACACAGAGCCTTTCCATTGTGATCAGAAATTATGGTGATTGCTGCTGCTGAGTGCCATCCAAAGGAAAGGCAGGGATCTTCAATATAGGAAGTGACGCAGTGAACTTTAAGGAACTTTAGCAACAGTGTGTGACAAGTTTCGACTTGTTCAGTGCAGTCAGTTGGGTGTGAGCTATGGTTGAGAGAAGTTGAGTTTTCAAATATACCGTATTTCATACTCCATCATGACAATGCTCCGTGTCACACATCGCTCTGGTATATGGCAATTTCTGTGAAATAAAAACATTACAGTGTGTCCTCATCCACCTTATTACCAGATTTGGCACTGTGTGACTTCTGGCTCTTTCCCAAAGTCAAAATGATTCAGGACATCAAGGCAGCCACAACAGCGCAACTAAAGACACTCACGAAAGAAGACTTCCAGAACTGCTTCAGAAAGTTGCAAGAACGATGGGGTGTGTTCCAAATGATGGGGAATATTTTGAGGGGGATTAATGGCAATGTGCCTTTTACTGTAATAGATTTTTAAACATTTGAACATTCACCATATTGTTTGATCACACTTCGTAACTTGTTCAAATCTGCCACTCACTCACACACCTCCTTCTAGTTTCCCACTTCCGGCTGCCTCCAGCTCTGCTGAAACCTGTCCCCCACCTACCAGGTTCTCTTAAACAGAAAGGGCTGCTTGTTCTTATACCAGGTAACTCAGGCTTTGGCAATGGGGGTGCCAACTTTAACTTCTTTGCTCCCCCTGTGCTGCCTCCCGACAGTTCTCTCCCACTCTTGCGAAAAGCTGACTTCTCCTCTGGGGTGCATGCCTGCTGAGTTTACTACCGTCTCATCCCTTCATCTGTTCCAGTCACTCCCCCTAATTCAACAGAGGAGGCTCAAAGTTGCCCCTTTCTGGCCCATCTGTACATCTAAATGCAGGCACATCAGCTCTGGCCCTGCCCCCTCTCCACTTCTCTCTCCATCCCTTCCCTGAGGGCAGGGTGCTCAGCCTCAGCAGTACTGACAGTGGAGCCAAATCATTCCTTGCTGGGAGGTGGCTGTCCTGTCCACCGTAGGAAGCACAGCAGCATCCTGGCCTCCGCCCTCCAGATGACAGCAGCAGCCCCAGGAGAGAACCACTGCCTCAGGAAAGTATGGGCAGTCTCATGGCCTCAAATCTATCTCCTCGTGTCCATTGCCATTTGACATATCTGACAAGTTTCACAGGCATCTGTCTCAATCCGAGCATGTCCCCAACTGAATCTTTGTTTTTAAATTCTGACTTTCCTCTGCTGAACTATCAACATGAACTGGTCATACTGGCTTATTCAGAGCTCAAACACGTCACGCCTCACAGAATCTAACCTTCAACTAGAACAAACTGGAAAGAAAAAAAAATTGCCACAAACAGAAGGCAATTTAAACGTCTATGAATGTATTTCAAAACATGACTTTATTTAGGAAATCCAGTTTCTTTGGGTGTGTCTTCCCTCAAAAGAGGTTATTTTCAAGAAAATATTACTAGCGCCAAACGGTGAAGTTTTCTTTGACTTTCTAATTTATTATAGGGTCCCACCCCTTTGGGGAATCAGGTATGCAAAATATTAAGGGCTTGAATTCCACCCATGTTTCAGGCAGATATTTTGCTAAGTAGGATACATGATCAGGTTTCAAAGAAACAAAAGAAAAAAATAATTTCAAAAAGTCTATACCAGCCAGCTCATTACCCCATCAAATGGACTCCGGAAGGATGTTGGAAGTCTGTGCTTTCTCTTTATTAATACACCAATGACAGTGCTAATCCACTGTTGACATAGCCATCACGAGCACATTGGGATAAAGGAAAAAAATGGTTTCAAATCTAGGCAGCAAGAGGTAAGGGCTCACAGATAGTTCTCAATGGAGTCATTAAGGCACAAAGTGATATAATTTCCAACCAAGTCCAGTTATTCATTTTACACTTGAAAATGAAAATGAGAGGCATGAGATTGATTAAAAAGGTTTTTCATTTGTTTTAAAGAGAATATCATGAAAATTAATTACACTGCAAAGATGATGGGGGACCAGAAAGTCACAAAACGTTTTTGTCCTATCTTGGTATAATCTAAAGCCGTTCCTCTGTGCAACATTTTCTTCTTTTTTAAGACCTCACCACCAACCTTACTGCTCAGGCGGCAGAGATCTTGACAGAAATTTAAAAAGGGCCTTTTCAATCGTAGGATGCTCCCTGGCTCCTGGATTGGTAGAGCTGTCTTGGGATTTCCATAGGAGATTGAGTAGGGCCGTGAACGGACACTCGGTCAGCCCCACTAGAATGGCCGATTCCTCATGATGCAGGCCCTTCCTCTCATGTACTCTTCAGAGCGGAGCACAGCTTGTGCAAGAATGAACAGTCGCTAATTCCCTCCACACCTTACCTGTCAGACTTCCACTCCGGAGGCTGAGCTATCACCCCAAAAAAGCCTCTTTTACTTCTCTCACCAGAAAGAAATGCTAAACCAGCCAACTGTAGGAAGTCTCATCATCTAAGCCATGGTGTTGAGGCAGTCACACACCATCCTAACTCAGCCACACCTGTAGGGAACATTATGATTCAGCTTTAAACACTTAACACTGCTCTTAAACCAGTGACGGACTGCTTGGCCAGAAGGTCAAATTCATGGTAGTAACTCTGTCAGGGGTGGGATGTGATCTACGTCAAGAACTAGCACTGGCTTGTCCCCACGTTCTTTGAAAAATATTAGTGACCAGCTCAAAGATGTAAGACATTCATAGATGCGGAGTCACGGGAAGCCACGGCTTTCCATCACAGGATGAGAACCACTGCTTCCTACCTCGGGGGGCACCAAACCAAACCTTGGCCAACACCAGTCCTCTCCTTATAGCCAAGTCTCAAGAGGCCAGAAAACTCTTTTTAGGAAAGGACAATACTGGTTCCAGACCCTCAGGGGAAATCCCTAAAAGGATGCATTTTGTGGTATGTGAAATATATCTCAGTTGGAAAAAAAAGAAAAAATATCATAAGTCTTCTGAATACTCTGAAATGGTTATTTTCTCCATGAACTGACTGAATACTCAGTTTTTTTTCCTGGGGCTTAACTCTTTCCACTCTTCATGAAAGGAGAGAAAGCAGACGAGCTGGAAACATCTTTACAACAGTTCAACAGTAGTTCTGCCATTTCTGACACCCACAATGATAAAGAACAGTATTCCAAAAATATATGCTGAGGAATTACCTTCATATCCAAAAATAGTTTTCATTCAATAGTTTATATAAACTATACAATCTATTCAAGTAGATGCTAATTATTACCATATTTTAAACAATATTTTTGAAATTAAAAAAAAATCATCCTTATTCCACTTGATTACAATTCTAGCTCAACTTATGTTCACGAGATAAGCACAAGTCACAACCAAGAATGGCTTTACTGACTTCACAGTAAGATATTTCAGTGAAATGAGGAGGTCTAAATACTTCACAGTAGTGAAATAAAAAGTACTACAAGGACACTTTCTGGCTAATTATAAGCTTTAAACTTGTGCCAAATAAACTGGACTTGTGTTGACAGAGGGAGAGAGTATCTGTACAGTTCTTATGTAAATAGACTGAGCAGGAAAAGTGTGCTATTTTCAATCTTAGGACACTATTTCTAGCTGTGACATGGGGGGACAAGCTGCAATAAAACTAAGCTGTGAAGTTTCACCATCATGTGCCTATGATTTCATTTTCAATCACAAACATTATTATGAACACCAAGAATAATGCTTATTATTTTAAGAAAAACTACTTACAAGAGAAACATACTTACAAGAGATAGCAGCAAACTGAACAGGTCACCAACATAGTTATGATAACTCTAAAAAAAAAAGAAAAGACGGGATGTAAAGTACAGCATAGAAAATATAGTCAATAATATTGTAATAACTACGTATGGTGCCAGGTGGGTACTCGACGTTATCAGGGGGATCACTTTGTAAGTTATATAAATGTCTAACCTATATAAATGTCTATGCTGTACACCTGAAACGAATACTAAACGTCAACTGTAATTAAAAGATAATTTTTTTTCAAAAAAGGAAACATTATTAGATAACTTGCAAGCTACGCAGACACTGCAGGATGATTCAAGTCCACATCCCAAATTAGCAAACCAGCATGGACGGTGCACCAAGAAAATGCATCTGAGTCTGTTCAAACACCCATAGATTGCAGTTCACCACAGAGTGCATTTGGTAGAAGTTTAAATAATTAAATATTTATTTGTATTTAAAGGGATATGTATGCCACAGCTTAGATGTCTAATCCAAACCCATCTGAAACCGAACACAAAGGCTGCAGCGACAATGAGTTTTGACACCCAAGTAACTACCCTATTTGGCATTGTTCTCTACGATGAAATGACACTACACTTCCAAAAATGTGACTCACGCCGGCCAAGTGGCGTGTTGGTTAAGAGTTGGCTTGGGATGCCAGCTCTGAGCAGCAGGACCGTGGTTTGGATCCCACATGAGGGTCAGTGACGCTGCGCCCTCTACAGCTAAGATGGTGAACAACAGCTCCCTGGAGCTGGGCTGCTGTGAGTCGCCGGTGACAGTGTAGGCTGCAGCCCCTGCTGCAGTGGGTTGCCATAAGCTACCGTGTGTGGCCAGCAGCCATCATGAGCGGCCAATGGCTGGCGAACAACTGCCTCACCCGGGAAGAGAGCAATGATAATACCAACATGAACCAGTGAAGCGTCGTCCTCCACAACTAGACTGAAGAACAAAAGGACAGCAACTTGTCTGTTCCCCTTCCCCAATTCTGCAATGCTGTTCCCCTCCGCCAATTCCCCAATAAAATCTTAAAAAAAAAAAAGAAAATGAGACATCCTCTAATAAATAAATAAATAAATAAAAATGTGACTCTCTAGTGTTGACATCTTCCCATCTCCACACCTGTCTGAAAAAAGAGTTAAACCTGGATCTCTGACCAGGTGAATATCAGCACTTCTAAAATTCAACTCATGATACTTGTCCCATTTCTCTTTCCAACGGCTCCCCATCTGACTCTCCTACTCCGCAGAAGCAGCTCTGCCATTTCCACCCATCCAACCCACCCCCAAATCTGTCATCGTTTGCTCATGCCTCCTCTGCATCCTCAGGCACACCGAATGCAGTGCGTTAGTCCTTGGAAGCATTTCCCTATGCAGATTTCCTCCACCCCTAGCACCAAAATTCAGCAGGTTCACATGGCGAACTGCTAGCAGGTTCAAAACTTCCTTCCCTTTCATTCTAGCCACAAACCCCTCGGATTAATCTTTCCAAAATATGCCTTTCATCACATCACTCTACTGCTTAACACTTTTCAATGCCCCCCATCATCCATAGGCGCAGTGTCCGAAGAGAAGGCTCCACGCCCCACAGAGTGAGCAAGACCATCGCCTAGAAAGTGGGAAGCGAGTGTCAGCACTCCTATTTATACTCAGTTTTAACTCCTCCTTTAGAAGTTCTGTGTAAGTGTGTGTATTTTCTGCAGTTAATACACTGGTACATCATGCATTCATTCAACAGATTTTCATTAATTGTCTAGTATGTACAGGTTCTGGGGAGAGAAGAGTGAAGGAAACAGATGAAAACCCCTGCCCTGGTGAAGTTGACATGATGGGGGAAACAGACAACAAACAAGATGACCAACCAACAAGATCTATCTATCTATCTATCTATCTACCTACCTATCTATCTATCTATCTATCTATCTATCTATCTATCTATGCCAGAGGGTAAGTGCTGATGGGGAAAAATAAAGCAGGAGAGGAGTGTGTGAGATAAAAATGCAGTGGGAGATACGTATACACGCACACTCACGTATTAATCAATTAAGCAAATGTGGGTATTTCACAATTACTGATTCTAGGTGGTGGTACACAGCACTCGTATTCTTTCTACTTTTCTGTATGTTTGGAAATATTCTGCACGTGTGAAAACAATGGAGCTGACAGCTCCTGGCACCCGATCCCTGTGCCTTTCCCCATCTTTCCCCCCACTGCTAAGGGGGCCACTGTGAAGAAACCTGATGCTTTTAAGAGACCTGTGGCTTCCTCAAGTGAAACGAGGGCAATCAGGAAAAACAGGAATGGCCTGGAAAGCCGATTCCGACAGACTTGGCTTTATCCTGCCCTTTTTCAGTTGTAGAAAAGAATGATAAAGGGTCCTAGATTCAGGAGCGTTTTCCCTTTTGCCCTTTTTCCCCCTGCCTCACCAGGTCCTGAAAACCTCATCGCCCAACTTTCTGCATTCTGATGTGCAGGGGTCTTGCCGGAAAGATGTGGCATCGAAGTCTCCTTCTTCCCTTCACACGCAGTACCTTTACTTATTTCCTTAATAAAGGTGTTCTGAATTGTTCAAATCAGAAAGGCTCTCCTGTATTAAAAATTCACCAGAGTCCTTGAAGCAATACAGCTCCTTCATATATTAAAAAAAAAATGATTTGCAGTCTTTTCAGGAAGCAAAGAGGAACTAGTACTAATTCAGGGCTAGTATTTCCATTTTACAGTGAGGAGATGGGAAGATGGAAAAGTTAACTAAATTGTCCAAGGTCACAGGGGCCATCCAGCTAGGGGCAGTGTTTCTCAGAGTGTAATACAGGAATTCCTAGGAGATGCTGTGTTTTAAGACCTGCTCAATCCTGCCAAGAGCGGGTAATACAAGGACTGGAGTGGAGGTGGTGCCTTAGACCCGGGTAGCATTTCACCAGCAGGTCAAACCTGAATCATGGAAACTGAGTAGCCCATGTCCTACAGGAGGCATTTCATTACCCTGGATAACAGCAGTGGCATCAAGCCCCAAGGCTGGGCAGGGTGGGCCCCCGATGAGGGTCCTTAAGAAAGGACTGGTCAATGCTACCCGCACATTAATAAATGCTTTTCTGAGTATGAAGGCTGAAAAAGCAGACAGTAGCGTAATGAAGTAGTCGATGCTAGAAACAGCAAAGAAGTACTTTGTTGTTCTCTAACCCCAGTAGGAGAAATCAGCCTAAGAAATTAAATGTGGTGAATACAAATTGTTTTAACACCCCTAGAATTCTGAAACTCTATCTTACAGGCTGGAGTGATGGATGACCTTATATAACGTGTTTTATGGGAGGCAGAGAAGGGGGGTTACCTAATGTCACCAAATGATAGACTTTCATCTACCATTTTTCCTTTTTAAACAAATTATATTTTTTATTTTTAAGCTAGATAGGTGGAACAGGTCTAACACAAGTTTATTCCAGAGAGACAAAGGGGCTCAGGTCACAAAATATTAAGGAATAGCATTTTCTTTCCTTTAATAAAGGCAATAGATAATTATCCACTCCACAGACACTTACTGAATGCCTACTCTGCAAGCAAAGCACTCTGAAGCCACCAGTTAATTTCAAAGGATGAAAACATGGTGTTTCTGACAAACTGTGACTTCATTCCAAGTTTCACCCCACATGATCATGCACTCAGAAAAAATGACTAAAAGGCAGAAGAGGAACTAAAAGGCAAAAAAAAAAAGGGTTCTAATAAAACTTTACTTACAAAATATATAGATAAAGCTCGATTTCACTTGTGAAAAAGTGTCTTTCTTAATCACTCACACACACGGCGGGAGCACCCTGCAAAAGGTATGACGCAGGGGTTTCTAAACAATACCTCCTGCTCCTCGGTAATTAATCTCGCTTTAGATCAGGCCCCAACTACCTACTGGCGCCCACTAGATGCAAGGCCCGGGCTCGACGTTGTTGCACAAGCTTGTCCAGTGCAACTGCGACAACACAGGAGGCGGAGAGGGCAATCTGTTTTATTTGACCCCTTCCTTTAAAGTTTAGGCAAACGAGGCCTCATCCGGGTGGAGGGCCTGGCTAAAGGGGCAAAAGTCGTCTAGGGACGGACCCCAACTTCTTCTTGAGTCGGTATAAATCCGTTTCCGACTACACCCTCCCCACACAGGCCCGTGATGAGAAAACATTCCCCTGAACTCCCTTCCAAGGAGGGTCCGCCCGAGGTCACCTCCTCACGTTCGGGCCGGGGATCGCCGACGCTGCTGCGATCAAGAAGTCGGGGGGCTCCATCGGGGTCGGGGCCTGACTGTGGAGCGCGGGGCCACCCCGGCAAGGTCTCTGTGCGGTGCGGGGTTGCCCCCTCCCCCGCCCGGCCCGGCCGCTCCGAGCCGCGCGTCCCTCCTTGGGCGGCCCTGGCGCACTTACCCCCGGTTGGGACCCTTAGGGATGAACCAGGGCACCAGGAAGCCGACGATGCCCCAGAACACACTCATCACTATCAGAGGCACCGTGAGGCCGTTGTACGCCATGGTTGCCGCCGGAGCCGCCAGCCCCTGCACCACCGCCTCACTTTGGTCCCACCCGGAAGTGTCAACACCGGCCCGCGTGACCAGCGCGCGCAGGGGCCCGCCTCCTGCGCCCCACGTGACCCACGCGCCGACTCCGCCCCTCCAGGGGCCTGAAGACAGAGCCCCGCCCTCACCTGGCGGGTCTTGGGGCTACAGCCCTGTTGAGGGACGTTGTTCGCGGCAGAGCTCCAGAGCCAAGGGTCAAGTCACGGAGGCACAGCCAAGTTTTCCAATAAGAGTAGCCCTTTAAGGAAAAGAGTGTAGTTATTTGCAGCTTTATCTTCTCCTTATGCAACCTGTGTGCCACTCACTAGGCTATGAACTTAAAGTGCCTGAGCTCAGTTTTGAACATCTCACTGCAGCCTATGAAGTAGTTTTATTTTCCTCACTTTGCAGTTGAAGAAACTAAGGCCCGGGGAGGAGGTTAAGGATCTTGTCCAAAGTCCAATAGCTAGTACGTGGCAGAGCCAGGATTCAAGGGTTATAGAAACCAATCAGACCCCCGTCAGGGAGTTCACAGGCTGCTGAGGAGATAGACTTGCAAGCCGGCCACTCAACAAAGTGAACGTAGTGATCAGTACTACACAACTTTCCACCCCAGACAGTCCTGAGCTGAGCCTTGAAAGAGGAGTAGGAATTAGCCACAACAGTAAGAAGATAAGCATGGAGTCTCTAACGCTTGCCAAGGATTCTCACATGTGTTAATTACAGTATGCCAGAACCTTGGAACAGGACTAAACCAATTCTCCGAGAGGTGAAGGAGAGGGATAAAGCTCACAGGTAGAAGCAAGATGGAAAGCAGATGTCTAACCTGTTATAAATACAGCGTGGTTTACTGTGGACTAGTTTACCTGCGATAGTCGCCCTTCCTTCCCTCATGTCGCCTCCTGATTTTTTTCTCCATCAAGTAGAATGGATTCTTAAATGGGAAGTTGGACCAATAATCTTTAACATCTGTACCAAGTCTTCAAACATGATTCCAAGCCTTGACCTGACCAACAAGGTAGGAAACTCGGTCACCTTTGTGCTCATCCTGCTCCCCCCAAATTCAGCCTCAGTAGAAATTCTGTTGTCCTTAAGTTCCAGTCCAAGCACCGCTTTCTCCAAGACCTGTTTCATTTTGCTGGTCCATCTCTTGTGGCCTTGTACTTGTGTGTGTGTCTTAAACAAGCCTCTACTAGAGGGCAAGCTCCTTGAGAACTGGCACTGTTTAACTGATCTTTGCTCCTTAGGGCACTTTGTATATAGAACATGCTCAAGAAACACTTACACAGCTGGATTGAATAGTTAAGCAAGGGTGAGATCAACCAGGACTAAATTAGAGAAAGAAATATGCTCCTAGTTGCTTCACATTTTCTAAAATTTATTTTTCATTGTGGTAAAATACATGTAACATAAAATTTACCATTTAAAAAATATACAGTCCAATAGTGCTAAGTATATTCTCACTGTTGTATACCCAACCAACAGAACTTTTTCATACCCATCAAACAAATCCCCATTCTCTCCTCCCCCCAGATCCTGACGACAATCCTACTTTCTGTTTCTGTAAGTGTGACCTCTCTACAAACTTCATATAAGTGCAACTGTAGTCAGTGGTCACATAGGGTGGTCACGTAGCTGGAGCCTGAAGCTGGGGAGAACAACCTTGAGCCACATCTGTTTCATCCTCTGTGAAATGAGAAAAATCCTTAATCTCGATATTAAGTTTGGGAGCTAGTATTGGCCAATAGCTCCCTCTACCAGTGAATCTGTCAAAAACATTTTATCCACATTCCAAATGAAAACTGTAGGGAAGGCCAGGAGCTAGGATTCAGTGACCTACCGAATGAAGAAATATTACCTGCCTTCAGACACTTAAAGGCCACTTCAGGAAATCAATCAGACTCTGGGCAGTGTGGTCCAAGAAGCTAAGGGAAGTCCCTGAGATTCTCCCAGCAGGTCTGTGTCTTTCTTTCCTAACTACTAATCTGTGTGACAATGAACTTCTTCCTGGGCTTCACCCCAAACAGCATATTGCTGAATGTAGAAGCGTTGTAAGAATCCATTGGTCTTTTAAGCCAGACATCAAGAAATTTTGCAAAGATGTAATACAATGTCACTCTTCTCACTACATTTTTTTTAATGCCTCAAGCTTTTTTTTTTTTTAACTTTATTGGGGAACAGTGTGTTTTTCCAGGACCCATCAGCTCCAAGTCAAGTCGTTGTTTTTCAATCTAGTTGTGGAAGGTGCAGCTGAGCTCCAAGTCAAATTGTTGACTTCAATCTATAGGGTTGTCGGAAAAGTCATGACGTATTTTGTGTATGTTTTTCAAAGGTCATTTATTTATATAAAGAACAAAGATCAATCAATGATATATTGCCCGTTTTGTGCGATAATCTTTTGCCATCTTTCAGTGAGCTTCATAATTCCTCGTTCACAGAAGGACCTGTCTTTATCGGCGAAAAACTGAACAAGGTGCTGATTTACAGCCTCATCTGAATTGAACGTTATACCACGCAAGGAGTTTTGAAGAGAGCAAAACAAGTGGAAGTCTGATGGTGCAAGGTCAGGCGAGTATGGTGGGTGTGGCAACACATCCCATCCAAGCTCCAATAATTTTTGATGGGTGATCAAACTTGTGTGTGGTCTGGTGTTGTCGCGATGGAACACAACTCTTTTACAATTAACAAGCTCTGGATGTTTCTGGATGATGGATTCGTTCAAACTGTCCAATTGCTGATGGTACACATTCGAATTAATTGTTTGGTTCCTTGGTAGGAGCTCTAAAACACGACCGACACCTTTAAAATCCCACCACACTGACAGCATAACCTTCCTCTGATGAATGTCTGCTTTCGATGTTGTTTGAGGCAAATCATCACGTCGGGACCAAGACTGTTTGTGCACCACATTGTTGTAAACAATCCACTTCTCATCGCCAGTTATGGGTTGCTTCAAAAAAGGATTGTTTAATGAGCATATCGCAGATGTTTATATATGTGCCGTCAAATGAACTTCCTTGAGTTCATGAGGAACCCAATATTGAGCTTGCTTATGTATCCCAGCTTCTTCAGGTGGTTGTGAACACTTGAATGATGTATGTTCAATGTTTCTGCAATCTCTTGTGTCGGGTAATGTGGGTTTGACTTGATCAAGGCCTTTATTTTGTCATCATCAACCTCGATGGGCTTCTCTGACCAAGAAGCGTCGTTGAGATCAAAATCACCAGCATGGAATTTCGTGAACCATCGTTGGCACTGACGGTTTTTTTTTTTTTTTTTTTTTTTTTAGCTGAGCCATCCTGCTACCTGTTGGCAGCTCAGCGGCTGCTCAGCTCGGGCTGGACTCGAACCGCTGTTGCTCAGAGCTCAAACTCTTGAGCGAGCTCTTAACCAACTGAGCCACTCGGCCGGCCCCTGCACTGACGTTTTTGTAGAGCATTGTCACCGTAAGCTTTATGCAACTTCTCACAAGCTTGACATGCATTCTTCCCTTTATGGAAGTGAAACAGTAAAATACAGCGAAAATGCAGTTTGGTCTTCCATCTTCAACTTGTAAAATCTCCAAAACTCAACCAAATCACTCAATTTTTTTTTAGAATGAAGCTAGAACTGTCAGCTGTCAAATGACATAGCAATAACATAGATGCGAGTGACTCTAGTACTTACAAAAATGAACTGGCGCCATCTATTGCAAAAATGTCATGACTTTTCCAAAAACTCAATAGTTGTGGAGGACGCAGCTCACTGGCCCATGTAGAAATCGAACTGGCAACCTTGGTGTTAAGAACCTGTGCTCTAACCACCTGAGGTAACTGGCTGTCTCCTTACTATATTTTTTTTGTTTTGGAAAAGATAATTATTTTTCATAAAAATGTTATTTCTGGCTTTTGGGATTTATTGTTTAAACATTATATTGTTTTTAAATGAATGCAAATGTTAAGATTTTAATTTCTAATGTGGTAAATTATGTGATAAATAGAACCCACATAAATATGACTTTTGGGTCAATAATTTATTTTTTTTTTCAGTTACAGTTGACATTCAATATTAATTAATTTCAGGTGTACAGCCTAGTGGTTAGACATTTATATAATTTATGCAGTGATTCCCCCCAATTAGTCTAGTACCCACTTGGCACTATATATAGTTGTTGCATTATTGACTATATTCTTATGTCCCCTGTAATTTTTAAATGTGTAAACAGATGTTGAGACAGAAAAGTTTGAGAACCTCTCCCAGAGGAGAAGTCTCAGAGGCAACCCCAATGGGATCAAGTAAATAAGAGCTGACTGACATGCCCCTTTCCCAAGCCTGGCCCTGTAAATAAAAACTGGCACGCAGTCACAAAGCCATGGAGTCAGAAAGCTCCTTCCAGGGTCCTCGGGAAGGTTGGAATTCCTAGAGCAGCCCAACACTCCAGCACACTTCACTCCTCACTTGCTCAGCACGCGTGTATGGAACATGCACTGTGGGCAGCCACCAATGATTACAGGAGCTAGCATTTCTTGAGTGATGGCCACATACCATTGAACTATGTGCTTTGAATTACCTGTCTCATTCAATGCTCACGACACCTAATATAGATACTAAGTCCATTTTACATGTTACGAAAGAGAGGCTCGGATTTGTGACTGGCTCCAAGTCTAGCTGTTTTGACAGAACTGGGATTTGAGCGTAAGACTTCATAGCTTTGGTTCTTGCCACTAAGCCATGCTGCCTCTATTTCAAATAGCCAAAAACCCCTCAATTATACACTACTTAACAGGATAGAGACATCTGCATAAAATGAGACCTTGGAAAACATGTTCTAGAATTAGGATGTGATTGTTTCTGACGGACCAAGATTTTAACATTTGTACATTCATGTGTGCAGGGAATAAATCAACCTTATATAGCTGTTTCAATCTGGACAACCTGCCTTTCTCACGTAGACTTCTTCATGGATCAAACTTTTAGTCAACACCCAATCATATATGTATAGACTATTTCTGGAAGGATACAAAAGAAGCAATGACTGCTTCTGGGGAGAACTGAGTGACTGAGTCAAGGTGACAAGGAAACTTCATTTTGCATCTTTTTATGTTGTACCATATTAAGTGTTACGTCTTTAAAAAAACGTTTAAAAGAACAATGGAAAAAGACCCAAGCCACCACCAGACGGGAACTGTAGCCTCAGCAGTCGCTAGACTTTCGCTTCGTCGAGTTCCATCTGGTTGTCAGAAGATTCAATTACGTGCCTACCCAACTCACACTGAAAGCTCAGTAGCTGAACACCGCGTGCCTCGGTGCACTAGGAAAGCAGGCATTCAAAAGCAGTTATCTGGTTTAAAAGTTTGGAGTCTTCCCAAAATAGCACAAGGGGACTCACTCAAGTGAATGAACATCTGCAGATTTGATGGAAAGGTCAGTAGGAAACTGCTTAATTCAGTCATTCCAGGAAACTTGCTAATACCCCAGGGCCTGAACCTTGACAGCAGGCCCACCCATCTGGCATTCCCCAGTCTCCATTTCCTACAGCAGCCATAACACAATACTGCTGCCCTTAAACCCTCCCCTTCATTCAAGAGCCAGCATTTGTCTGAACTCCCTGGAGAGAAACTTTTCCCTCTGCCCCTGCAAACAAACCTACTTCCATTCTCCTGTAAAAGACAATAGCTCAAATGTGCTGAACTCTGTGCTTTACACACAGCATCTCAAATAATAACCTCTCAGAGCTCTTATCTCTATCACATATTGAACAAGTTGCTGAAAACAAGCCAAGTCTGACTTCTAGGAATTATCATAATTTAAGTTTACAGATGAGAGTACTGGCTGGAACCTAGGAACCAGAGCAGGCATCAGAGTACGTCATCCTTACAATAAACTTAATCTAGTAGGAAATCTGACTTCTATGCAACTTGTGAGGTCCTAAATCATGTTGGTTGAGAATAACGACGAAACTCAAATGAGAAAAAACAAACTACAGATCTTACTGGGTTGACCTATTCATTATACTGACTAGACATACAGCTCAGTGTGCTAATGATAACACAGCTGCTGTGTGGGGTACCTACTCTATTTCATATGCTGTGTGTATATATATTACATAACTCCTAATCCATACTTTCCCAAATTTACCTAGTGCATTTTAAACCATCGGTACTCAGCTGCTCTGTAGATGAAACACTGAAAGACTGGCAACTGGGAATTGATAATAAGACAGACTTTATCTATAAAACAACACAAATTCCATCTGGAATTAGAAAACATTTCCAACTTTTATTCATAAAATTAATCAAAACAGCAAAAGTAGATTTACAGAGCCACATATCAATAACAAAACAGAAGGATACAAACATTCCAGGGATACCGTCAAAACCAGGCTAAAAATCTGCAGTTAAGCCGTGGTTGCACACACAACAGGTTATATTTATTCCTGCATTTTCTCAATAAGTTCTTCCTTATATTTGCCTTTCTCTTTTCCAACTTGTCGAGATTTGGCTTTGCGTTCAAGAATTTTTTTCCTGTCTTTGTCCAGTTTTAGCCTGGTGATAACCACCTATTAGGAGCAAGAAAACAAATAGATCTTTATGTTTTTTAAGTGAAAGGGTTTGTAATCACGATTACTTTGTACAGCAGAGCTTTCCTCGGCAGCCAGGTTCCTTCTGCTACCCAACCTCCTACCCCCTAACTCCTGAGGATCTGGGAGACCATTTAGATAGGTTAGTGACATGAACTACCATTTGAGTTGGGAAAAATTATACTATCAACAGGTTTCTGGTTTGTCTATCATCCCTTGACTGACAAAAATGCACTGTTTAAGAAACATCTGCATTTCTTCCAGCTGCTGGGCAATAGAGATCATAAGGGTAAGTAAGACCCCAACCATTCTGCCTTAAGGATCTGAAACTCTGGAGGAGACCCTACAATACAGTGTATAAAATGGGAGTGCAAAGGAGCAATAGTGTATTCCACTAGATGGTGTGAGGGCCACAGGAAGAAACGGTCTCTCTTCTCCCTCCAGACATTATCTAGTGGGGAAGTGATGTCTGGAATGCCTAGAACCCCCTTGCTACCTACTAGAAGACCCTTCACCAAAGGTGACAAAATAGACAAGAAAAGAATCTGGATTCTTGATGATATCACCAAGCCAGTGAATCAGTCAAGCCTGCCTGACCTCCCTCTGGAAGTCCTTCCAGGGCTGCCTGTGCAGACAGCAGCAGCTGCCCACTGCTCAGTCCGGGCCATACCTTGCTCGGGTGAATGCCCACGTGGACGGTTGTGCCGTTAGCCTTCTCACGCTGTACCCGCTCGATATAAATGACGTACTTCTTTCTGTAAACCTGGACTACCTTGCCGATTTGCTGACCTTTGTAGTGTCCTCGAACCACCTGAGAGAAAACACAAAAGAGAATTTCCCCCATTTCTAATGCATGAACATCACAGTGAGGTATGTTTCATATATACAGCACATAACATGATGCGATGGAAATATATCCCAATGTTGATAATGGTTGCCAGTAGGCAAAAAGTAGGATGACAGGTGACTATTTTTAAAATTTATATTCTTCCAAATTTCAAGATTTCTACAATTAATACAAATGTTTCACAGGAAAAAAAATGTAAATTAAAATTCTCGTGGGCTGTTCTGCGTACTAAAAATCTGCTCACGTGTCAATTCTATTAAAAAATCAACTAGATTATGGTTTCTCTAAAGGCAGGAGCCTATTAAACAGTACCCACAATATAGATGATGCTCATTAACAAGCAGAGAGAAAGTACCACATATAAAAAACTGGAGCATTGGGGGGCAGCTGAGTGGCTCAGTTGGTTAAGAGCTCCCTCAAGTGTGCAAGCTCTGAGCAGCAGGGTCGCTGGTTCGATTCCCGCCGGAGCTAAAAAAAAAAAAGCCAAAAAAAACCCCCTGGAGAATCATAATACTCCTAAAATGTCTACCTAAGTTGTTCAGCTTTTTTACCAAGGTGATTTTTAGGCTGAAAAGAGAACAGCCACGCCTCACTGAGATTCCAGCTCACTCTATATGACCAGACTCTGTCACATGGACGCCTGTGAAAATGCCTCCACTAAGGATCAAGACTGAAGAAAGATGTTAATGAAACCAGTCCACAGGAACAGCTGGGTTAACGAGAAATGGGTAAATGCTTGACCCAGTGAGGAGGTGGACAGGATAAGACTAAATGGACTGGGCTGAAAAAGTGAGGAAGAGGAGGCAAGGATGCTATCCAGAGTCTGGCTGGGTAATTGGAGGGTTGGTCATGCCTTTCCCAAAGGCATGGAACATGGGGGAAGGAAGCGATTTTAGGAGAGAATAGTCTGTAACGAGTTGCATTTGAGACATCTGGAGACGTTCTAGCGGAGTATCCCATAAACAGCTAGAGGGCCATCTGGTCAGCAACACAGACCTGGGAGTCATCCCCTGCAGAGTCTGGTGCAAAGAAACGCCTTGGGCAATGCCTGGCAAACTAGCAGCCACGGGGCTAAATCGCAAAGCAGAGCTTTGCTTGCCTGGCATACTATTTTTTAAAAGGAATTATTATTATTAATCGAATTTGAATGCTCTTGATTATGCAGGCGCTCCCTGGTAGCTCTGTGCTCCATCTCCGGTCTAATAGATCTGCAGGGTCACAATCACTTGCCAGGGTCCTGGGGGTGTGACTCCCCGACCTCCAAGCGCACCAAGATCTTAGGCAAAGGCGGCGCCCGCGCGCTACGCAGCGGGGGGACTCGGGACCGAGGCGGACGTACCTGGACCTCGTCGTCCTTGCGGATGGGCATGGAGCGGACGTTGTACTTCTGCCGCAGCTCCTTGGAGAGCGGGGAGGACATGATCTTCCGGCGTACGTGTGAGGGGGCATTGAAGTGGCGTTTGCGGTTTTTGCTGCGGTCCGAGGTCACGAAGGGGTTGAACTTCATGGCGACCGTCTGCAAAGAATTATTAGGGAGGGCGCTCAGTGGGGTGCCAGGCCTGCTCTCCATCAGGACACTCCTCCCCATCCCCCGAGCGAGAATGGAAGCATGGGAGGTGCGAGGGAGGTCTGGGTGGTACACTGAGTAAGGCGTGCAAGCGGGGGCGCGTGCCTGACCAGGAGTCGTGGGGAGAGATCGCACTGGGGCCTTGAGGCTGATTGAAGGGGGAAGGCCTGGGCTAAAGAGTGCATGGCTGGGGTCACGCAGAGAAATCTCTGGGGAAGCGGTAGTCCCGCAGCAAGTGGGGAAGGGTCCTACAGAACCGAGCGCTTTTCACAGTCGGACAAAACCTCAGCGTCTACTCACCTACCTGGCGCCGGAAATGCCGACGATGCGCGCGCAGAGCCGGAAGTGAGGCTTCTTGTCACGCAAACGCAGAAAGAAAGCGGTCCCCTAGTCCCTCGGCTCGAAGCTGAATGGTGCCCCCTGCGGCTTGGGGTGGGATCGCAGTGCCGCATTTCCAGGGACCACCGGAGGAGTAAGCGGCTCTGAAGGTCATGCCCAGACCCCGAAGACGTGGCGCCTCTGCGGAGAAGGCGTATACTTTTGTAGAACCTGCAATAGAGGTTTATTGATGTTCTTTTAATAGGTACACCATCAATAATCTCTCTCCTACCCCAAACTTTCTTTGCCCTGTTACTCTGCACAGGGGTCATCTAGGCATGTTATCCGGGTGCTTTAAACATCATGATGCTCCAAATATATAAAATCTGCCGACTTGGTTTTTAATATCATCGAGAAGCCTGTTCAAAATGCAGGTTTTCGTGCTCCACCACAGTCCTACAAAACCAGACAGTGGTAGGTTAGGGTCAGGGAATCTGAATTTAAAGCAAGCACTCCCCTAACCAAAGATTCTGAGGCGCTCAAATGTTTGACGATCGTTGAGAACCAGCCACCAGGCTTTGCAAAACTCTGCTCCCCACCCCCAGTTTTTTAGCCCTGTTCGGAAGAGCTGGGGTTGTAGAGTCACACCTGGGCCCAAGTGCCTCTTCTTGTTGCTGGGCCTTGGGGAGCTGTCTCCCTGTTTCTGAGCCTGAGTTTCCTCATCTGTGAAATGAGGATGATCTTAGTTGGTGCCTCATGGAGTTGTTATGAAGTCTAAATGAATTAATCCGTTTATAGAGTGCTTAGAACAGTGGCATATAGCGCTCAATTACAGTCACCCATTTTTCCTAATCTTCAGGACAGTCTCAAGGCCCAGCCTCACATTCACCGAGTCCTGACGTTCAGACTTTTGCCATTAACACCCGATGACGCAAACAGTAAGCTTTCTGTGTTTCATGTAAACACGTGCAAAGCGCTACCTTGGATGGAATTCGGGTTGTGGTCTTCCTTTTTTTTTTGTGCCTCCACAAGCGCCTTTAGAAAAAGGCCAGCTCGCACAGCTGGGACTCCGTCGCCGCCGATGCTTAGCTGAGGGTTTGTGACCGCCGCCCCGCCCTACTCCTCCCGGCCCCACCTCGCCCCGCCCCAGTCGTACCGGAGCTCCGCCTCCCATCCCCGGACGACCACCCAGAGAGGCGGGCTATACCCAATCGTTCGTTAGTCTGAAACGCCCTGTGCGGCCCCTGGGAATGAAAGGTCCCTCGGATCTAGACTTCGCTGTGCGGGAGATTCCCATTGATTGATTGATTCATTGAATGAACTGATTCATTCTTCCATTCAATTCATACTCGTATCTATTGAGCGCCTACTTTGTAACAGTTGCCAGATAGAAGCGTTTGCGGTGCTCGGTTAACAGATAAGCACCCTGAAATTCAGAGAGGGGGGGGATGTCTTCCCAGATTCAAGCATGTCCCGTACTCTCTCTGTGTCCCCTGATAAGTGGTGGTGAAATTGTTAAACACCTGTATTTACTAATACACATAGTAAACCATGACATGCGACTTGATCCCTGGACATGCTGGAACCTATTTTAGGTTTCATTCCAGACACCCCCCTTACCCCCCGCAGTAAGTGTTGGAGACCTCTGGCTTTCAGACCCACGGAGGATGGCTACACCTGGTCTGTTTGCAGAAGCCAGGGCAGCAGAGTAAGCGGAGGGGAAGTTGTTTAGGCAAAGGCAACGGCAACGGAAAGGCCATCCGTTGTGCGCCTAGGCTCCCAGAGTAAGGAGGTGGGGGAAGGAGTCATAAGAAGGGAAGATCTTAAATGTTCTCACCACAAAAAAGAAATGGTCATTATGTGACCATTAACTAACACTACTGTGTTAATCATTTCCCAATATCATTTCACAATACGTAAGTGTATCGTCAACAGGTTGTACATCTTAAACTTACACAATGTTATAGATCAATTACATCTCAATAAAGCTGGGGACAAAAAAAAAACCCCAAAAACCCCACAGGAATTCACTCTCTACAGGCAAGGCAGGAGCAGATGCTGTTAGGACTAAGTTTACATGGAAAGTCAGAGGGCTCTTCCCCCATAAGTTCGCTCATCCATGCATTCATTCATCTGTTCATTCGTTCATTCACATACTCACTGGCTCTTAGTTCATTCACTCCTTTATCACTCATTCATGAGCTCATTCACTCACACATTCATCCATTTACTCATTAATTTATTCATCATTTATTTGATACCTACGTGGAGCCACGGGTACAGGGCTAGATCAGAGACATGGCGGGGTAGGGGTGGGGGTGTGGGGGGGAGGTGGTAGCGGGTGGTGGAGATCTGGCCTCTGCTCCCAAAGAGCACAGAGCCCCACTGGTGAAGGACAAGCAAGTGAGGACAATCATTACAATGTAAGACAATCAAGGTGTATTCATGATCGAATAGGGCAGAGATGCATTTCTTTACATCCTGTCACACCACCCTCTATGACTCAGTAAAATTAAGACAGGTGCAATGCCATCGCCAGATAAGATGAAGAGAGCATGAGGCTGTCACTCTCATGAGGACTTACTGGGATTGGCTTCTATGTGGCCTCACGCCCACCCTAGGAAACATGCATAGGGACTGGTATAGAAGCCCCAGGACCTAGCAGTGCCTGGCACAGAGGAATTGCCCAGGGTATATTTTTATGTCTCAGGGGCAGAGGGTGAAGGGGGGAAATGCGTGAGCCCTGGATTCTGATTGCCTGGGTTTGGATCTCCACCACCTCCTGGCTCTGTAGCTTTGGATAAGGTATTTAGCCTCTCGCTCACTCACTTTCCTCATCTGAGAAATGGGAAAATGATAGGACTTCCCTCATCGGTTTGGTGTCAAGATTAAGTAAACCCTTAGCACCATGCCTGGCACAAAGTAAGCACTTAATAAATGGTAGAAGCTGTTGTTTACTAAATGAATAGCGATGGTCAGTTTTATTAGGCTGAGCATTTACTGCCATGCACTGTGCTAACAGCTTTGCAGACATTAATTTATTTCATCTGCTAAACAACCCTCAGAATTGTCCCTTTTACAGGTGAGAAAACGGGTTCTGAATGAGATGGGAGCAGGGGATGAACATGACCCAGCATTAGATACAATATGGTTATTGTTATCTAGCAGCAAATAAAGAGAATTATGAGACCCATAGTTATTAACATAGAAAGGTGTCTATTAAGTGAGGACAAAAGTAAACTACAAAATATTAACAGCAGGATCCCATTTTGTTTATGGAAGGTCATTGTTCAAATGTTAACATTGATTATCTCTGATTAATGGGATTTGGGTTGACTTTAATTTTCCCTTTTTGCTCTTTTCTGGTTTTCCTCCAATGGGGCTATAAGCATGTATTATTTGTGTAATTAAAATCATGTATTAAGGATTTAAAATTTTTGTTGAAGAAAATCCCCAATATTCAGTTTAGCTTTCCTCTGCAAGCTGTTTAACATCAAAAGTACCCTCACTACTTTCAATTTTCCCTTGTTTGGTGGGGAAGAGAGTCAGTTTTCCCTTATGATACAGATAAGATCTCAGGGACTGAGAGGGAACCATACAATTCTTCACACCCTTGGAGTCAGGCGGCCAAGGGTTTGCATTCCTGCTTTAGCACCTGTTAGCTGTGTGATGGAGACAAGTTACTAAATCTCTGTTTTGTTCTTCCGAAAAAAAGAGGTGACGCCCACCTCATAGCGTTTGCTGTGAGGATTAAGACGGACAAGGCCTGAACAATCACTCCTTGCCTGGCACGCAGAGAATGCCCAAGCACTGGTAGCTATCACTACAAGAGTTACCATAAAAATTATTTTTGGTCAGCATAAAATGTGCATGAGCTCATCACTATCTAACTGACAGAAGGCAGCTGCTGGGGAGGCAGCAGGGTCTTGGGTGAATGTCCCCCTCCTTCCAGTTCCCTCTCACATTCCTGGACCACAGGCTGCATCTATTGTTGGAGCTGCTGATGAAGGGACTAGCACCACCAGTGGGACCTCCACTGAGAAAATGGGTATCTTTGTTTCTTGTGAGAATCAAAAACTAAGGTGACATGTAGCGATAGAAACAAACCACAGCTACTATTTATAAATTTATAAGCGCCATTGCTACGTCCTGCTTCTTCCCAAGCTTCAAACCCACCCCCTCTGTGGACTGTCCCACCCCAGGCAGTGCGGGGCTGCAGCATATAAGCTTTTCTCTTCACTGATGCACCTTTACAATGTCATCTCTCCTGCAACCGCAACACCCCCTCCCCACCCTGGAGGAAGCCATTTCGGCCTGAACCATCACAGCCCCCAACCTATCACCTCCCCCAACTTGTGTCTGCGCTGCACTCCTGATTGAGAAATCTCACATGAAAACACTGTAACCCCTGGTTGGTTCGGCAAGGGCAAGAGTTGTTTTAAGGGAGAAATCATACAAATAACACACCCGTACCCTAAATGTTTCAAATCAACTTAAAACACATTCGCGAACTTTTCGACCCTGAGGCAAGGCTTTTTTCGCTGGGAAACCTCTAGTGGAGTTCTCCTTCATTTTCCTTACATTAAACCAGCCAAAGAGTTCCGGTTTTGCGTTTCGTTAATAACATGGAGTGAGAACTGAAGACACTTTCGATGCCAATGCAGAATCCTCAAGGACTTCCACTCTGCGCCCCCAAGTCTTTTCTGTAAAATTCAGTAGCATTTTGAGGAGGGGCTGTCAACTCACCTTTATCAGGTCTCTCCAAACTATTCAACTTAGTTTTACTAGAGTCTTTCATTTTCCCCTCCTATTTCATTGGTTAACTAATTCACATCATTACAGCACAGCCCACAGTCGGCGTAAGCAGGCTTGGGAACACACATAATTGACTACCGGTTTGCAGACTGCTCTTGACCATCAGCTTTGAGTGTCATGGTAACGCCAGTAGCAGACAGGGTGTTAAGGGGCACTGGAAAGGGTCACTACAGAGTGTCTCGCAGACTGGCTCACTCCCACATTCATTCCTCATGTGCTTATCCACGTCCGTGCTGTCCCAGTGAAGACCTTCAAGGACTGGACAGCAGGATGCCACACATCCATGTAAGTCCCTTTGTCACAGCTGGTCCTGATCTCCCTTTGCTGAGCTTAAGGTTGAAAAAGGAATGCCAGGTCCTGGGAAATCAAGAAGAATTTATGAAACACCTTTGTGTATGCAGCCCTTGGCGCAAAGCTGTGAGGAAAATGTTAGCTCTGTTCTCAAGGAGATTAGATTCTATTTGGGACTACCAAATATGAAACAACTACCATTTTTGAAAATTTACCACGTATCACTTTCCTGCATACATGAGCTCATTCTAATCCGGTATCATTTACTCGCACACAGTATAGACTTAATTTCTGCAACAGCCCTACTAGGTTGTTGTATTACTATCCCCATTTTCACCTGAGGAAAACGGAGGCACTGAGAGGTTAGGGACGTGAGGCTACACAGCTAGAACATGACAGGTCCAGAAATGTTCTGCAGGGATTCAACAAAGGAAGGGCTAAGTCCAGAGGATGGCTTTCTGATCATCCTCACAAATCTTTCCCACATTTCCCAATCTATCCTCTAGAATTAAATTCCCTTCTGGGATTAAGCCTCCATGCTACCCAGCCACAATCAAGTAAAAAGAAACACACAGCACTATTTCTGAAAATCAGCCATTTAATCTATTTGAACCCAATGAGGGGGGGGGAAAAGAACGAAAACATTTTTTTCCCTTAAGATTTTGTTTATGAGAATAACGGGTCAGAGGTGTATCTTCCATAGGAAACTGACATCCCCTAAGTTTTTGGTTTTTTTTAAATGCAAAAAGTGGAATTTCAACTCCTGGATACACCACACACTTCCCTGCCCCGCCCACACCCCTTACAGGCCCACGTAGTCACACACCAAAGGGACTCCTTTCTGTAACTGGGGAACAGAACATAAAAACAATCCATCTAAGTGGCCACCGATACCAGAAATAACCAAATGGACTTCAGTCAACTCATATGCAAGCTGGGCTTCTCTTCCACTTGGAATCCAGGGCCAAAAATTACAAATGGCAGAGACATGAGCTATTAATATAGATAAGTTAAAACTACTTCCACTGGACGCTCCCCTTAATTACAAAAGTATGCAAACAATCTTGATATAAATGGAAAGCAGGTGGGTGGCCCTGTCCCTGGGGCACCAGGGCATACCTGAAATTCCCTGGGTGAAAGTTCTGCGTGGACCGTGGACCGTTGCCTCTCCCTTTCCGGAACAAAGGGGAACGGGTGGGGGAGCAGTGGGGTAGGGTCCCACCTTAGGAACAAGTGGGGGGACAATGGAGCCACCCCAGGAACGTGCTGGTGTGTGGCCAGCCGACAGGGGAGCTCAGTGGCAAGTGGGCCACAAGTGGGCTGCAGAGGGAGCCATGCACTGCGCCCCCCTTGGGAGCCCAGAAGGTAGATATCCAGATGGGAGGAGGGCGGGCCTGCTTTGCTTTCCTACCTTGGGACGGGTGGCCGCTGGCCGGGAGAGGCCAAGACATGATTATTTTAGGGTTGCACAGAAAAATGCTTTGCATCTGGATATAAGTGCACAAACTGTGGCTGGTTCTCAAAGGATGACTTCCCAGTCACAACCAGCCCCTCCATCAAGAGATGCTGTTGTTATACAGCATGGGGGCTGAGGCACATTGGTGGGGGGTTCAGAGGATCAAGGTGAAGAGAGGAACGGGAACCCACCACCTGCCCAGTGACCAATGGGAGACTTGAGTCTCCAGCACTGCTGCCTAACAACTGGGCATCTGCTTCTTGGGAGAAAAAGAAAGGTGTGGGGGAGAGGCTCTCAAGGCCTGGGCTTTTGGTCAGGCAGAAAGGCATGGGGCAGAAGCGAGGGTTCCAGCTACAGCGCCTCATCTCAGGGGCTTGCCTGGGAAGTACCATCCTTCGTTGAAGGCGCCAGGTGGGGGGTACCTTTGGGCAGCCTGGTCCAGAGCTGACGGTCGAGGTTTGCAGGTTGGCTGCCCAGGGCGGGGGAACCAAGTGATTAGTGAGTCCAAATGGTAGAGGCCATGAGATTGTCAAAGCCTGGCTGAGAGCTGGTAGACGTGGATTCTGGGCTGTTCCCCTAAGACAGAAGGGACTATAGCTCTTCTAGGAGTGGTCCCCAACATCCCCGAGCACCCCTCGCCTGATTCTGGTCTTCAGGCAGTGTAATTCCTCCAAAATTAAACGTGGGGAAAAGAGGTAGCTGCGAAACCACGAGCCACCCCCTGCCTCCCCTCCCCCACTTTGGGACACAGCCAGATCCTGGGCCAGACAGGCGTTGGAGGCAGCGCTGGCGGTCTCTCTGGGTCCTTGGCCGTTGGGCTGTGCAGGTCGTCAATGCATCTTGCCCAGCTGAATCTTCTTCCAGGCCTCTGAGGCTGTGAAGATACACGAGTCCAGTATGCCAGCAACGGTGAAGGTCCCGCCAATGATGGCACAAATCTGAAAGCAGGGGGGAGGTCAGAGGTCAGCGCCAGGCCAGTCCCCTCCCAAATCACGAGAGGATGAACAAGTGCAGACGCCCATTGCACCCACCACGTGGTAACCAATGGGGTCCGGAACATCCTCAAAAAACCCACTTGTTGTATGATGAATTTAGTAACAATAAAAGCATAATCATCAGCTCCTTTAATTCCCGTGTTAACCTTCTGAATGAGGAAGGGGATTATTAGACCCATGTCATAGGTGAGGAAACCGAGGCTTAGTTAGGAAACTAAGTCCACACAGTAAGAAGCAGGCCTGAGACTTGAACTCTTCAGGTACATCTTAACCTTGGAGCCTGCTATGGTCTTAATTTTTACTCTAAATTTATCAGATATTTTTACAATTCCATTTACAGATAAAGGAATGGAGGTACAAAAACGTGGCACCGGGCTGGCCGAGTGGCTCAATTGGTTAAGAGCGCAAGCTCTGAGCAACAGGGTCGCTGGCTTGATTCCCACATGGGCCAGTGACGCTGCGCCCGAGCTGAGCTGCCGTTGAGCTGCCAACAGGTGGCAGGATGGCTCAGCTGGTGAGAGCGCGTGCTCCTAACAAGGTTGCCGGTTTGACTCCCGCATGGGATGGTGGGCTATGCCCACCCGCAACCAAGATTGAACACGGCACCTTGAGCTGAGTGGTTGTGAGCTGCCGACAGGCGGCCGGATGATGCCTGGACTTGGAGCTGAGCTAGCTGCGCCCTCCACAACTAAGATTGAAGGACAACAACTTGGCTGTTCCCCTTCCCCAATTCCCCAATAAAATCTTCGAAAAAAAAAATGGCACCACTGGCCCTAGGCCATACAGCCAGCAAGCGGCAATCCTGGGCCTTGACCCCAGGTCTGACGGCTCCAGGCTCAGTGCTGCCCGTGACTGAGATCTGGGGTGGGCTGGATTGGCGGCACTGGCCTGGAGGGACTGGAGCGAGAAACAAATCTCTCATTCTCAAAAGCTCGCGCTCTATCGATGGGATGGGTAGCAATCAAATAACCATGCCGACAAATGCAAAATTGCAAGTGCTACAGAGGAGAGAGGGGCCCGTGGTGCTCCCGGAAAGCTTGTATTAGGGCTGTGGGGGGCTATCCTGTGCATTGAAGGATGTTTACCAGCTTCCTGGGCCTCTACCCATGACATGACAGCAGTACCCTCTCCTCCCCGTTGTGACAACCGAAATGTCTCCAAACATTGTCAAATGTCCCCTGGAGGTCAAAATTCTCCTGGTGAAAAACTGCTGCAGTAAGGGGACGATAACGAATGTCACCTGTATGTCTGTACTTCATAACTTCCTGCCACATAACAATTTAACCACCACAAAGCAGTGCTCACGGTGCCTTCTCTGTGCCAGGCCTGGCTTGACGTGCTTTCTGCTGTCATCGCTGAGTCCCTGGGCCAACCCAACGAGGCAAGTGCTATTCTTATGCCTATTTTACAGCCAAGGAAACTGAGCCACAGAGACACCGAATCACCTGTCTAAAGCCACAGTCATTAACGGCCGAATGGGGGTACAAAACTGTGGAGTCTGCACTCTGATGACATTGCTACTTCTCGGGCATGAAACGCCCCACCCAAGTGAGTTACTCACTTCGCTGCGAGGCTGTCAGAACTGCACGGTGACGTACCAAACTCATGCTGTGTGGTACTCAAAATTCTCTTGCCTAGCTATGAGTTGCTGTCTAGTGCCATAAAAGAATCCAAGTACGAACGATGGATGACAAAAGAAGTCCACAGAGGGTTTGCAAGGAAACTTTAAATGTATTTTTCCTCTTGAGCACATACTTTATGCCATTCCTAAGAACCAATACCACCCACCGCTCTGTGTCCCTAGGAGGGAGGCACCTCATGTCCAAGGTCACACAGAAAGTATGTGGCAAGAGCCAAGTCTGTCTGCCTCCAGAGCTCTCTTCCCCACAGGCCAAACTTAAGTGGCACTTAAATGACCATTTAGAAGAAGCCATGTTGGGCAGCCCCCGAGGGCCTGAGACTGTCCTGAAGGCACCACCGGTGGCCGGCCACCCACGGAACTTGACCACTGGAGGACTCTGGGAGAAGGCAGCGCCTTAATGGACCCTTTGGTGCCAAGCGGAGGAGGCCAGGAGACACGGCGGAGGCAAGCGGGACGAGCGAATCGAACTGGCATTTATTTTTAAAATGATATTTCCATGAGATGAGCTAAGCGGAGGCCTGTGAGGCCCAAGGCAGACAGAGCAAGTCTGTACGGATGGGTTGTAAGTGGAGCAGCTGGCATTCCAGTAATAACAGCCCAAGAAACCGGAGCAGCTCCCCCCACCCCCCGCCCAGGGAGTGAAGAGGCTGGGGGCGCTGAGGGGATTACTCTGAAGAGTCTTCAGTGGGCAAGGCCTCTCCCTGCCAGCCTCAGAGCATGACGCAGGGGCACTTTTCAAGGAAGATGACGGCAGGGGAGCTGGTTTATTTTGGTAGAGTGGATCAGATGATGGGAGATTTTATACCACAAAATGCTTTTAGAGCTTGGATCAGAGGGTAGGAAAATGTGACTTAAGTGCAATGGAGCAAATAATAAAAAAATAAAAAATAACCACACACAAACATATCTATATTCATCTACACACTTTGAAACCCGAGTGTTCCTATGATTCACACACACCTGGCACCCCGTCTGCAGCCTCCTTTCACTGGGCTGGCCCAGAGCAGGAGACAACACAGGCATTGAGGTACCAAAACCCCCCCCCAAAAAAAAACCCAAAACACAGAGCTGTGGGGAAACTGAGGCCCTGGGCGCATGGAACCTGCTAGGCCCCTGAGAATGCCCGGCAGTGAGGCTGCTGACATCACCCAGCTCAGCAGCCTGTCCCCCACTAGCCTACATGTGTTGAAGGTGCTGGTCACTGGTCAGCTGAGGCGGCGGAATTCTGGCACATTCGCTTGGGTGGCCCAAAAGCTAAACGAAATCTAGCAGCCTTCCTGGTGCTGCTCTGGCCCCTGCTCTCATATCTCTTCCTTTAGCCTGCTCCGGCCTCCCTAACGCACTCATATCCATAGGTGGGGACTAGGTGAGGTGAAGCAGGGTCGTGAGGAGGAGGGTCCTGGGGCGCTCTCAGGCCATGGCGACCCCTGGACTCTTGGCATATGGGTGGTCACAGAAACCCCCAGCACATCTGAACTCGTCTAAGGAGGTGGGCAGTCATGCCATCCCTCCATCCCTCCTCCTGAGAAGGTCACAGTTCCTACGTCTAAAACACAGGGAAATAAATGTGGCCACGAAGCTCCTCCGAATGGTATGGTCGTCTTTGGACTCAGGTGGTGGCAAAATAACAGGCTTCTTTTGTGATTTCTTGGCTGGTGTGTGTGTGTGTGAGGGGGAGTACGGGGCGGAGGTGGGGGGGCCGGG